AAGAAAAGAAAAGAAAAGAAATGGAAACACAGGTTATCAATATTTACAGGCTGCAACTAAAGTAGAACTTGGGGAAATTTATAGCTCTAAATCTTACAGCAGAAAATAACAACTCTCAAATCACTTACCTCAGTTGACATTACCCTAGATGTACTAGGAATAGCATTTAGAAAAAGGAAATAATTACAGACATAAGAATTGAAAAAAGAGCCAGGCTTGGTGGCTCAGCCTGTAATCCCATGCTTTGGGAGGCTGAGGTGAGTGGATTGCCTGAGCCCACGGGTTCGAGACCCACCTGGGCAACTAGGTGAGACCTCATCTCTACAATAAATCAAAAATTAGCCAGGCATGGTAGCGTGTGCCTGTAGTTCCAGCTACTTGGAAGGCTGAGGCAGAAGAATCGCTGGAGCCCAGCAGGTCGAGGCTGTGGTGGCCGGGAGCGGCCACTGCACTCCAGTCTGGGTGACAGAGGGAGACTCCAACTCAAAAAAAAAAAAAGAATTGAAAAAGGAAAATTAAAACTATACTACATACATACTGGAGTACTATGCAACTGCAATAAAGAATGAGGATGATTTATATAAACAGATATAGTACGATTTGCAGGATATATTGTTAAGGGCCAAAAAGGCCAACTGCAAGAGTTTATATGATTTGCTACCATCTGTATAAGAAAGAGAAATAAGAATTTATACATACATCTGCATATTATCTTTATTTGAAAAAGAAAGAATAAATCTAAAAACCAAATTATTTATTTACATGAGCTGGGGTTAGAATTGGATGAAAGAGATATGAGAGGGAAGACACTTCTCTGAATATCCTTTTTTGTATAATTTTGCCTTTTGGATGCAATTAATGTTTTAGAGATCTAAAAAATTAAGTTAACAAGGATAAAAGGGGATAAAAAAAACCTAAAACTTAAACAAATGAACCCAACTGCATTTTAAATGCATAATACAACTAACCTGAAGAGGGAAAATTTTATAAAATATTAATATACTCTATACCTTCAGCCTAGGGTGGGGTGGCAGTTAGGGTGAGAGAAGGGTAAAACTGCAAAACAAATTCTAAACTTTCTATGGTGATATGGGTGCATCAATTCTAAAACTAATTTGCATATAGTTTAGGTTTGAGCTGATGTTGGGAGCCAACATTCCCAAGGTAGAAAAAGAGATACAAATATGAAATGAGGGAAAGCAAAGAAGAATCCTGTATGATATGAATGAGGTATTGGCATAGACACATGATTTCTAAAATGTGTTTGTATACATAGATATTTATGTGTGTGTGTGTATATATATATGTGTGTGTATATATATATAGTGTATATATATGTATGTGTGTGTGTATATATATATGTGTATATATATATAGCCATGTATACATGCACATATTTTTCTTAGCTCTGCCTGCTTAAAGGGTGTAGAAGCAAAGATACTCCAGTAGCAATATGTATACCCAGCACTTACATCTTAGTTTCTAACACCAAGATGAGCCTGAATATCTTATACCAGAAAGCAAGAAAATGCTTAATGAAATGATGGGTACAGGTCACAAGGACAGAGAAATCTGCTTGAAGGGACTCCTACTAACTAAATTTGGGAAGTATGAAGACAAAATAACTTAGTATAATCATGAATTATGAACTATTGAAAAAAAACAAGAATCGCCTGGTGTGGTGGCTCAAGCCTATAATCCCAGCACTTTGGGAGGCTGAGATGAGAGGATTGATTGCCTGAGCTCACGGGTTCGAGACCAGTACTCGCAACTTGGTGAGACCTCATTTCTACAATAAATCAAAAAATTAACCAGGTATGGTGGCGCATGTCTGTAGTTCCAGCTACTTGGAAGGTTGAGGTGGAAGAATCGTCTGAACCCAGCAGGTCAAGGCTACGGTGGCCGTGAGCATGCCACAGCACTCCAGCCTAGGTGACAAAATGAGACTCTGACTCAAAGAAAAGAAAAAAAAGAAAAGAACAAAATTCACAAGTCCACACTGGATGAAAGAATAAATTAATTAATGAGGCAAAGGGAAGACTCTTGCCTACTGAATGCTGAGAAACAACTAGTAAATACAGACTAGAGTTGAAAAACCATCATTTTGCTACCATCATAGTAAAGACTTGTTCAGGTAAGTATAATTAAATTTTGCTAAATATGGGAGGAAAAATTTTGATGAAAAGTAGGATATTTGCATTTTCTTAAAGTATCTTCCCACATAGTATTAGAATTAAGAGAAAAAAATAATAACTCTGCAGTAGAGAAAATGAACAACACCTTGACCAAGTAATCAAAATAAACAGCACAAAAGAGGGTAGATAGACAACAAGGGCCTCTGGATGTGACACTCTGAAAAAGACACTCTAATGTGTATTTGGTTAATGGATAATCTGAATCTAATCATAAGGAAACACCACACATTCTCCTTTCCAGAATAAGAAATGTTCTGTTAAAAAAAAAAAGGGAGGAAGCCAGGCTCGGTGGCTCACCCTATAATGCCAGCGCCTTGGGAGGCTGAGGTGAGAGGATTGCCTGAGCCCGCAGGTTCGACACCCGCCTGGGCAACTTGGTGAGACCTCATCTCTACAGTAAATAAAAAAAATTAGCCGGGTGTGGTAGCGTGCACCTGTAGTTCCAGCTACTTGGAAG